GAAGTGAAGACTTCGTAAAATTTTAAAAGATTAGTTCAAATTATTCTATTTCCTCGTTAACATACAGCTCTCCCAATAGCAAAAGAAATTCGAAAGATTTGTTAAAGATTGTCTTCTTTTACCTTAAATCCATTTCTTTCTTCCCATAAATTAATTTCGATACATTGAATTGATAGCCAATTAACATATGGTACTAACTAAAATTTTAAAGGGCAACATGTGTGAGTTTTATAATGCGAAACCCCAGAGTTGTTTGTGATTACATTAGCTTACAAAATTATTCCGAGGATGGTTCTTATTCTTGAACCGTTGGATTATCAGTTTCACTGCCTCTAAGGTTTCGAAATAGGAGATAGAGACTATATGAATCATCTTCCAACAATACTTTGTGATTGGGTAGAATAGATTTTGGTTTTTAGATAGACCATGTGGATACTACGTCTTCGTTTATCTTTCCCACTGTCGTAAAACATTTTAAATTTTTTAATTTATTTATGAAAATGTCATGGGTTTTTTTACGGCCTTTCTGCTTAATTATAATTGACGTGAATAAGCAATGTGAAAAGCTTTTCTTTTGTAGTATAGTGACAATATTTTGTAGAATTGGAATTTAGTTTTGTTGAATGATGTGTGGTTTCAAGACTGAAATGAAGAATAAAGCCTAATGGAGATGCTGCTCTCGAATCTCATGCATGCATCATTAATTTTCACTTTGTGAATAAGAATATTTGGCCGAACAAGTGGTTGGATGTTGCTGGGCATGAAATTCAATTCTGGCTATATTGCATCCAATACTATATGTTGGGAGCATCCCAGGAAAAGTTGTAGGTTGTTTCCTCATTAATTTGAATTGAATTGCAAATTAAAGAATCCATTCATTCGTTCTCTCTCTCTCTCTATATATATATTATTTACCATATTTGATCTTAAATATAAAATCTATTTGGTATAAAGTAGATCTTATATTTAGGACAGGCAAAGAAGTAGTTTTTTTTTATAAAAAAAATTCTACATAGTTATCTTAATTGGATGATTGTGAAAGTCTTTTTTTCAATACCTGGATTTATTTGTATACGCATGGTATTAAAGTTTTCAAACTTTATGTATCTCAAAGATCACAACATTAAAAAGACATCATGGATTTAAGATTTGGGACTATTATGTGTATTAAAGGAAAGATAAGAGTGAGGCCTTTGATGCAAAAGCCAACGAGAGAAACCACATTGTCGTCCTTCGCACGCCACGAGACCAACTTGTAGTGCTACAATATTTCACTATAAGACCTGCTCGAAATTTAATTTGATTTTAAATATAATATTTTAATTGATTTTGTCTCTTATATTTATTTATTTTTTTAAAGTAATTTTCATAATAATTGTATGTGTATGTTAAAGAGTTTTTATTTTATGACATATAATTAATAAAAATATTTTAAAAATAAAATATTTATTTATTACAAATAACTACCTTAACTAATTATCTAACTCATTATTCTTATTATAAGGAGAGGAGGTTGTATGTACTTCACTATTGAGAGAGAGAGATGCATAGTTGTGGAATAGACATAAGAAAACTTTGGAATTCGGACACATATTACAAGTTATGAATGATTGATTGAGACCCCACACCGCACAAAGCATATATATGGCTGTGACGGTGTTGACCAATTAATTCATGTCATTTTGTGAATCTTTTGCCAACAAATTGTAAACATATATATATGTGTGTGTGTGTGTGTGTGTGTGTCGATAATTCAATCAACGTCGCTTTTGAAAAGACGAAACATTATTCCCCCTTGGCGTGCAAGACTTCCCATTTCTTTCCCCTTTTTTCTTCAGAAAATCTAATTATTAATTTTTCAAAACGCAACCATGTATGAACAATGAGGGTTTATTCCCTTTCGGCACAATACCTCAAGTTTTTTTTTCAAATGAACATGACTATTATTTAAAAATCCATACATTTCTTAAACAAGCACATACAATTTATAGTTGTATTCATTATTTATTAATTGTGTAAACTTAATTTTTATTTCAATCTTATTTTTCAACAATAGAGAATTAGTGAGTAATAATGAATAAATTTTTTTTAAGCTTTACCATCTGAGCACGAGGTTAAGTTTGTATGAATGTAGAAAATATTTTTAGGAGAATTATTTTTAATTGAGTCTGACAACATTCGAATATGATTTAGCAGTACTTAATATTGTATAGTTATATCAAGAAACTAGAAATTTCTTCCCCGTACGATACACGGATTAACATATTTGATTAGATTTAAAATTTTAATAAATTACATTATTTAAGGTGGTTCAAAATTCACTTTTTATATCAGTATATCTTTTTATTTATTCAAATGGGATTTAAATAAGAGATGCAAAATTTAGAAAAAATAGATGAAAATTTAAAATTAATTATTCATTTCTCTACTTAAACCTTTGCTTAACATATCATTTAATTATAATGCTCCCTATTTAATTTAATATATTCAAATCTTAATTAAGATATTATTCAAATTCAAAATTAATTATTAATTTCTTCATTTGAGCCTCCAATTGAAATCTCATTTAGTTCAACATATTCAAATCACAATCAAAATGCTATTCAAATTTCATTAATTGAATATATTTGGATTCCATAATATTATATCTAACCATTTTTAAAGGAATCGGGTATTAAAAGTTTTCAAAAATATAGTTAATTGATATTAATTTTTATTCGTAGATTTTAAAAAAAAATCAAAAGCTTGCTAAACGCTTTGAAATACAAGTGAGTGCTTTTGAATGGACATATTATCATATTGATTCAGAATTTATTGATATAGTTGAACACTGGAATTAAGCTAATATTGTAAATTCTATACATATACATTATGCAATTTTTTTTTTTTGAAGTTCATTGTGGCAGTTTTCAGCCGTACTGGTTCTGGAAATATTTGGATTTGGAATCAAATCTAAATCGTGCTTAATTCATAGGTTCAACAATCGAACCGACCAATAATCTAATCTGATTTTAAAAAATTATACATTTCTTCTTCTCTTTTTAATTTGTTTCCACGTCAGCGTTTTTAAATCCTATAAGATTTTAAATATGGCTATGTCCTTGTCAATCTCTTGATGATAGGATAATATCATTGATTCATTTTCTTTTAACCCCTAGTTTTGATATTACCTTTGACTAGATTTTAGAAATGGCTTTCCCTACAGAGAATAATACGTCCAAACATTTCGTACTTAACTATATATAACAAAGTTGATTTAATTTTTTAAGGAATAAAAAATTGCTTCTAATTTCATAATAGAAAATATATAATTTTATCCCATTGACCTCGTGGACTGCTTGTTGACTGAGGGCATTAGCTTTCACTTTGTCAGATGCAATGAGTTCAACTCCATTAGAATTTAAACTTAACCAATAGAAAAGATATAACGCAGAACGCATTTGTGAGTTTGATGTGAAATGACATAGAATAACAACTAACAGAATCAAGTGGAGAGGAGTGGACTAAGACAAAACACTTCACATTGTTTAGTAGTTTTAAGAGAGTAAGAGTGTTCACTGAGCCGCTAGCTCAATAAGCTTGGTGCTACCCAGCATGCCAAGCCACACTAGGTCGAGCCGGCTGAAGCCATCTATTGTACTATAAGCCTTATAACTTAATAACATGGATTTTTTTTTTTTTTTTTAAGTGTGAGGCTGCAGGTTTAATTCTGTTTATAACTTCAAAATGTTAGTGTCTGTTTTTTTTTTATTATTTAATAAAAGAAAGCCATCCATTGCAACATTCTCTTTGAGAAAACTGTTGCTAAGAATGGCTTCACTCTTTAGCCACTCTATTCCATTTCATTTCATCCAAACACAGAGTTAGAGTTAGGCTCACCTATAACATCATGATATCGGTTCACAAGAAAGCATGAAGCAGCACAAATCTGATCCGGAACAGAAAAGACTGCTTGAAATCCCAGATGGATTCTCTCTTTCTCTGCAAGTCATATTAAAACTTGAGAAGGCAAGAGGCTCTATATCGAATAATTGCGATAGGTGTTGGTGGGAATTTTGCTTTAATTTCCTGTTAAAGTTGACCAAATAAAGGCGCCAATAATGATCCCAATTAGAGGAGAGAAAATTCGTCACTGTATTTTCTCGGCTTCCAAATGAGTATGAAAGTTGGAATGGGGATGGCCTTATGATGGACTTTTGGAAGATGCTATACCCCACTACCTATGGTAAAGTGCCAAAAGAGAATCATTATATTTATTTGCTTTAATTAATAATCACCCCAAAGACCATTCTCTCTCTCTCTCTCTTCATTTTCAATTTCATTGACAATTTCCTTCAGCAATACAAATACAATCCCTCGTTGGATGCTTTATATTATAATAAATGATATACATTAAATTCAAGATATTGTCATTGCATTCTTTGTTCAGAATATATAATAATACATATAACAAAATATTTTCGATATTTAAATGAATGAGAGCAAGCTATTTGAGAACGAAGAGAGGAGGACTCCCGTATCAGTATAAATTTGCGGACATGGTCTTACTTTTAATGTCTTTCTAAATAAAAAAAATCTCATTATTTGTAGGTGATAAACAATAGGACATATTCCTCAAACTTCAAATAATGCACCTGAACATGTCCTATTTTTTAGATAAAATCTTTACAAATTTGAATTTGGAATTTATTTTAAAAAAAAATTCAACGCCTGAAACAAGGTTAAATTACATGTCAACCGCCAACGAACGCCAGACTAAAGGCGATCATCCGAGTTGGCAGGCCAGCAACAAGATGCTCACTTGGGCCAACAATGGGCTGAACGAGCTGTTCATGTTGATCAATTTGACCCGACTTGGTCTCATCATGGACCTCACAAGGCCCGAATCCGAACGAATTTGTTTAGTCTAATTTCGTAAGTTTTATGGCCACAGTTCAGCCTCAACAAGCTGCAAAGATACACGCAACCTTTTAAAATACGAAATAAAGCACATCTATTACACCAAGAAAAAAGATCAAACACCAACATTCTATAAATTAGATCACTTACAGAAAGATTATCTCATCCATTGCCATGCTAAATAAACATTCTGGGTTTTATTTTTATACAAAACAAACACATGGAAGAACGAATAATACAGTAACACATAATAATCTGCAGCTGATTCTCACCATTTATCTCCTAACCCCTCAAGATGCCTGCCGAAAAGACAGCGTGCTTGGTGAATCAATCCTTACTATAAAATCTTCACCACCAGATTCATCACTTGAATCGTCTGCATAACTTGCTCTTCGTTCTGTGGTTTGAGCTGGGGGATCTGTAACATTCCCTGTGAATTCTCTCACCTCAGGGTCCTTCCTAGAAGTTGCGGCTCCTTCTGATTTCACAGAAACAAGTGCACGGCCCTGCTCTGGTTGAATGCTTGGATATGATAAACTATGAGGGGGACGGGGCAGATTGCTTGACAAACTTCTTTTTGGCAAACGGATTTCCACCTAAGAAACATGAGAGAGTAAAGGAAATAAGCCTGAGACAGGTATAGCATTTCTACAAGTTAAAGCTTAAATAACTTAATTTCCCGTAGACTTTCATAGTATTCTTGCAAGGTATGCTATGGATTTCACAGTATCAGTTGATGATCATTGTGACCTTTTCGCTGTTAGGTTCACCCGCTATAGGAGTAGAGTTCTCAGATTGGAGAAATCATTTTGAACATGTCGGAAACTTTCATAACAATCACATCAGTCTATTTCCATTGTGCCCGTGTAAGATCCATGTTAGATCAAATGTAAAATTCCTGCTCATATAGAATCAGATATACCTAGCAACTAAATTTGATAGGAACAACGACATAGAAAAAAAACAAGGTTGATCACTCATTAGATATCACCAATAAAATGCCAAGTTCTTCATATAATTGACTGAAAATTTGAGAACATCGTCTACTGAAGTTTCTCATCGATGAAGCTGATATCAATCTTATGTACCAACATACCATGCTGCCATAAATGCTCAACTGCATTGCCCTTGCAGACAAACTATTGGTTTGTTGGCCATCAGAATTTTGCTTATGTTGCTTTGGCTTGAAGAAATTTTCAGGCCAACTCATAAGACGACTATGTTCTCTGCCTACAGGCCTATGAGGATGATCAACTGTGTGTGGCAACAGTGAACTTGACCTCCCAGAAAGACCAGCTTCAGCTTCAAATGCCGCAATGTCAAACATGATTACCCTTGCCCTTGTTTCGACTATATAAGAGGATGCTTTATGAGCAAAACTTGCGTTCTTTATACCTGGCATCATTGAAAGGAAAAAGATGAAATCAAAATCATTTTAGTCCGCAATAAAACTTGCAGCTTCCCAAAAGGATATTTTAACTACAGAAGAAATATTATAGGGACATCTAGCTGACAAGAAGTATGATAAAGATCAACAAGTTAACAACAACAACAACAAAGCCTTATCCCACTGGCTCAGGTCAGCTACATGAATCACACAATGCTATTGAACTCTATCCAAGGCCAAGTCTTTGGATATATTGAAGTAGTATGATCATCAAATACGTAGAATTTCACATAACTGCAAATCTACCAATATTACATTTTGACATAGATACAATTATGTTACATAATAAAAAAACATAAAATAAGGTTTTCCTTAATTGTATGATTTCTAACAAAAATACAGAAACAGAAAATGCAAGAGACAGATCAGATTATTACTTGAAACCCTTTTTTTATTGTGAAAAAGTTGTTGCCCCAAGCCTCTTATTTAAGTCCTCAAAATAAGAAGTCTTACGATAAGCATCAATGATGCAGATGTGAGGGGGAAGACGTGACCGGTGGTGATAAAAAAGACACTAAAACAGAAAACTCAACTTCCTCTTCCTACTGAAGATACGAACACTTGAAATAGCCTTCCCTCTCATGTCATTTCCCTATTTGTATAACTGTTGTCCTTCAATTAATCGTTGTTTGTGCTTGCCTTACTAAAAAGGAAAATTATCAGGAACACATCTTTGAGAGAGCATAAATATAATTTCACTCACTGGAACTTTCCAAACTTCGGAAGCTTAGATTCCCATGTGAAGGCAAAAGAGCTGCTGGTGATGTTACCAGCTCTTGAAGACCTTGAGTTTTAACGTATCCTTCAAGTAGAATGCCAATGGAATGATTAGGTATTTCTATCGTTTCTCCTCTTATGTATACAGTCATCACCGACCTTTCTGCAACAAGCGCTCTTAAATTTTGCATTGCCATCTTTTCAAATATCTGAGGAAGCAACAGTTTGGAAAGGAAAATAGCACTTTCCTGCAAAACAAAATAATCCGAGTGTCACAGCAAAACGTAATAATCAAAATCATAGTAACATTTCTATGCTTTCTGTGGTACCGATCATTTTTCTTTTGGGCAAAGCACTAACCATATAATAAGATACATCTTTTAATAAGTTATGATCCCTTGATAAGAAAATACATCATAAGGATGCGGTTTTTAAACTAAACAAAATACTCTCTTCTGAGCTAGTAAATGAAATGTCACAAACCATTTACTCCAAACTTCAGCATCAATAAGCAGTCAGAAGGTATGCATCCTATAGAAACAGTGGCAATAGTATTGTTAATTTATGCTCACCTGCCACAGGAAGTCTTCAACTGAAGGATCTGACTTAAGACATGACACTATCTTGTCACCTTCAAGGAAAAAACAGAGAACCACCGAATCTGTTATGACATCACAGATATATGACCTTCCAGTTAGGACTTCGTATAGACCCAATGTGCTTCCATGAGTAAAGGTCGGGTAAAAGGAATGTTTGTTTCTTATTATCTTGCTTTCCCACTGCCAAAGTAGCAATTGTCAAAGACACTTTATTCGCATGAAAAATCAGGTCATATAAGTTTAGAGCTGTACGGTAAAGAATGGTTATCTTACCTTCACCACCCCACTAGAAACTAACCAAATACCATTTGGTTTGGAGCCCTCCTTGTAAAGTGTCAGACCACGCAATTTCATCATTTCTTTGCTATTGCTTGCAAGTGGTTCACGGACAGAAGGTGGCAGGGCACCCAACATAGGATGTATACCACTCATCTTAGGAACCTTCACCAAGGGGGGATTCCTGAGTAGTTTTTTAAATCAGTCTGAAACACAAGTGAAAATAATTATGTAATCCTGCAATTATTCACCGGAGTGTACACAGCTTGAGGCCACAAATGAACCAAAAGTATCAATGACACCAAAAATACCTCGACAGCATCATGAAGTTGCAGCATCTCTCTCTCTTCCAATAATCCAGACTTTTCAAGGTCTTTAACATATTCGAGTAAATGATTTAGCACTAAATATGTAGCTTGCCTTGTTTTCACAACACGCAGAACCTAGGAATTAGACATATCAAATAAAATAATGCAAGAGTGAGGAGTATGCTTCTCAATATAATGGTTGGACTATACTAATAGTACAGAGAATGAACTTTTGACTGTTATATGATGGGTGCTTGGTAACCCCCTAAAAGCACTTTAAAAAAGCACTTGCACGCAAGTCAAGATACAACTCCACCCATATACTTACCTCATACTCCATAAAATAATTTCTAAAAAACTAATCCAGACACCCACATGGAGTAATTAGTAAATTAATTTGACAAGCAGAATCCAAAGACTCCAGCAAAGTAACAAGACACGTCAAAGAAAGAGTTAGACTTCAAACCTGAGGGAATGCCACACGAACATCTTCTAGGAACTTTCTTGCTTCTTCTCCTTCTACAACACTTTCATTGATGACAATAGATGAAACATCACTGTCACCTAAAGACATGGATGAAGCGGAAATAAATATAGCTAATTCCAATTACATTTACAGCTCTTACAGCCCAAATAAATATACCCAGACCTACAATGTAATGGCATATGAGAGTATCAAATTGGAAGCGTACCATTATTTAGATTATATACTCAGTTTCAGAAAAGCCTGTTTGTTTATCCCCTTTTTTGGATCCTTCCTAAAGGAATTTCCCTCCTTTATTATGTAAAAACTTTATGTATCAGAGTGAATATATATTTACTTGAAAAATAAAACATCAAGATAATACTGCTAGTAGAGACTAGGGGTATCATGGTGAGAGCTAAAATCCTCTAATGAGATTAATCATCCTACCCAAATGGTTAAGATGAAGCATGGTCATGTTCAGTGCAAGCATGAAAAGTTTCACAAAATTTGCTATTTTCTGAAGCATATAGACTATCAGGATTGGGACAAAAAAGGTCAAGAAAATATTTATTAAGAATAAAGCAAGAAAATGAAATAGTATGAGAAAGGTAAACTAGACCAGACTACCAAGGTAGCCTATTACCTATAAAGTCATGCAACTGTCGCCGAGCAATTCTGTGGGCACGAAGGAAAGCTGCACAAATACAACACGCAGATTCCAATCTTTCTACAGTGAAATATGTAACTAATTTCCGTGGAAACATGCTAGTTTGAAGGAACTTGTAGTAACTTGGGAAATGAACATTAGGTTTTAAGCCTCTCCAATCACATAAAGGCTCAAGTGGAGCCAAATCTATAGCTTCTTCCACTGATCCCATTAAGATATTGGCTGTTGCTTGTGCAATTCTGCCCTCATCAAGCATCTCCCAATAAGCAGCTTGGACACCTTGTATAAGATGGAAGCTCAGGTGTTCGTCAAGATATTAGATGTCAATCAATTGAAGCATTTAATGGTTATAGGACAGGAAAAATTTTAAAAGTTCAGCTGAACCCAAGAACTTTGCTAGCATTAGACCATTAACATCAAAATTGAAAAAATAAAAAAGAAGAAGAAGAATGGTTGGAATTAATAATAAAAGAATATGGAGGGTCCAGATGGAATAGGGATCTCTCTATTCAATCCAGACCCTCCATCTAATGCTGCTCAAGTTGTGCAGCGGAGAACACTTATGCCCCAGCTACATATTTTCATATGAAATTCAGTGTCATTTCATTTCTTTACATTATGGCTTCCATTAAATTTAAGATTAAGATTTAGAATGTTTAATCTAGTTAATGAGACATAAAGACAGGGTGCAGATAGACTGGACAAAGTTACTGATGTTGTGATACACCAAATGATAGAACTTTAAAATTACAAACTGAAAAAGTGTTAGGATTGAAGTACATCCACAAATTCCATACCATTCAAAAGGCGTATTCTTATGTCTTTCAAATTCATCGGATCCAGAGTACTGTCACTATCCGGTGCACCGTGAGGATGAATGCGTTCATCTTCAAGGTCATTTAAGCATGAGATATACCTCTTCACAGTAGGCCAGTCAGCAGGTCCCAGTTCCTCATCATCTCCAAGCTCGCCAAAAGCCTCTAACGCTTTGTTCAACATTTCATACTTTGTATAATTAAGGATGCGTTTCTGTCATTAATCACAAGAACATAAAGGCCACAACCAAAGATAACTGCAAGAGAAGATTTTAAATCAAAAGAACTTTTCAAATATTTAGGCAATTCAGAAGATCTCCTTTGTGTTTCACTCTCTATGGTTCCATAAATGTGTACGTGACTGCCAAGTGCATATGAATTTAATGAGCATCAAGGATGCAAGCGGTTTATAGCCGTTGAAATCCCATGATCAAAAGGGGTATTTGCTGATTATCCACTAGTGGTTCATGGGCATTTAGTGGCTAGAATCACGTGGGTATATTATAGGGTGGCCTATTATGCCTAAATCTAGGATCTGTCAAGGACTAACCCTTAGATGGTACACATCTCTAGGTTGTGTTTCTCTGTTGCCCTTGGAATTCTCAAGCAAACCCTCCACATTCTTGTCCTTACTGCTTATATGACAAGCTAATCACATTCATGGTTTAGTCGCACATGCCTTTCACCTCACCAAGTTTACAGTCCATTGCTAGATTCATCTCCTCAAGCCTATGATGCACTAATGTTTTGTTTCTGTAAATCTATGGTCTGTATATTCTGTGAGCCGTATCATACTCCTCAAGGGTTGTTTGTGTGACATGGGTATTGTTGATTGTAGCAGATTTAAGGTGGTGATTTCCTGATCTAGTAAGGTAGGGAAGAAATAAAAGAAGGATGCTGGTGTTAAATGCTAAGCAGGCCCTAAATATGATAATTAACATAACCTTGGGAAAAAAAAAAAAAAAAGGCCTGACTTGCAAAATTTCAACGCCCTATTCTCTTTTTCTTCTGGGTTCGACTTACTTTCTTTTGGAACTCTTTTTTCCCTTTTCTCTTGTGATCACTATATGAAAATTATGAAAAGAGTGATAAGAAAACCAAACTTAGGCGCCAAACAGTAAGAAGTGATAGGATTTAGCTTAAAGCATTCTAACCTCTATCATAAGCTAAGAATCACAATTAATAAAAGAGAGGGTCTTTGGGCTTTACAAATGCAACTTACAAGCCAAAATTTAAAATTTTACCCTAACGAAGCCTTAGGGATGATGATCCTTGGCTTTGCAACGGACTGAAGCAGAAGAAATCATGCAAAATAAAAAATAATAATTAAAAAAAAGGGGTGAAAATGTTGGAAAACAGGTTTTGGGGTGAACAAAAGTTGCACCCAAGGAGTTCTTCCAACATGCGATGTTGCATCCTGTGGTAGTTGGCAATGAGGGTCAGTGTGGATAAGACACATTCTATTAAGAGAACACAGTGGTGGTGATGGTTCAGTGATTCAACAGCAGGATCTATGAAATCCAGATTTGCAACGAAAAGTTTAGGGGTTTAGATGATATTTTGTGATTTTCAGGCAACAACCAAGCTCTAATGCCAAATTGATGTGAAACGGGAATTGAGATAAGAGAAAAGGAAGAGATACTGAAAAACACTAAAACTTGATTCAATTCATCAAAAAGGTCTAAACCTTAGGCCCATTGATAAAGCCCTAGGTATCATTATTCAAAATAAAAATTCTGATCCAAATCTAATAAATCCTAAAAGATTCCATAAAATTTAAACCAAAATTCTGAATAGGATAAGATAATCCTATAGACCTTACCTTATTCTAAAACAAAGAAAATCTAACCTCGAAAAAATAACATAGAATAGTTCAAATCAAAATCTTAAAACACAAATCTTAATAGACCGTAGAGATTTCCATCACCTATATTTTCTCTCTTTTCATCCCCCTGTTCTATAATTTTCTAACAGTTCGCTGAGACATTTGCCTAAGAAAATAAATCTATGAGCAGGTATCCATAAAAAACAGAATACAAATTTCAAAATAAACACCATATAGCTAAATATCTCAAAGATAAGTATTTAAACAGCATTTAGAATATGACATATCAAAGCGTTTCATCTTTTGAGATGAGGAGATAGCTTGCATCCAGAACATCAGAAAAAGCCAGACCTTAGCTGCAGATAATCTATCCATGTCAAGGAAGTGTAAAAGAAACTGAGTGGTCGAACCATTCACAGTAAGAGTCAAGAACACAATTCCACCAGTGAAGAATAGAAACTGCAAATATGAAGAATCCCACAGTCAATTAAACAAGTAACTTAAATGCCGAGGAGTTCTCAATTTGAAATGAGCTCGAATTATATAGATGATTTGCATCAGAGATTTCAGAAACGTTTTGCCCATAAATTTCGAAACTGAATGTGATCAATACTTGGAATTGTTCACATACCAGTGTTCCTGTATCTGAATTCAACTCAGCTGATCTGCCACTGGAACGCTAAAAGAAAAAAAGTTACATCATTAGAAAATTAGGCTACAAAATAAAGAGAATGCCTGTGAATGTTACCCTCATGAAAGCATATTTTCCCATTGTTTTTCAGGGGACTATCACATTGGCGTGAAATTTTACCCTTAGAATTAATTTTTTAGTGAATATTGATGGAATGTAACCAACTTTATGGCATATCTTTAAGTTAAACTATTTAATGAACCTTAAGCTTAGAATTTCATAAGGATCTTAAAGTAGTTTACTCTAAAATAATTGTATAAATCTACCCACAGAATCATCTTGCAATGATCTTGGTAGTAATTAACAGAAAATCAATTTTGCACCGCAAGTCCATGTATACTTGCCTTAACTGACAATGATAATGACAAGGCAACTGCGCCTCGCAATCCTGCCCAGATAAGAATTGCAGCTTCTTTCCACTCCAAACCATATCCAAAGTAACGTAGGAAGGGAAAAAGTATTCCAACTACTATGCACCTAGATGCTTGAACATAAGCATAGAGAAGAAAGAGGTAGGCCCATGATTTTCCTGTGGCGAATACATTAGCTTGGAGTCACTCCTCAAGGTTTACAAAGTGGATAAGACTTCTTACACTTGGTAACCAGGGGAAAACAGAGGCCTTCTTACAAGAAAGGGAAGCAAATGACAATAACAACAAGAGCATCAAGAAAAGCATCAGCTTAACCATTAAAGCATCTCGGTTGAATCATTCTTATCTCAGTGATGTTGTGTTACAGAGTAAAGAAACATAAGAAAGTTAGGAGAAGCATAGACAAGAAATCCAAAAGAAAAGGATGGGAACAGAAGGAAGAGAACAGGATGGTTAACTGATAATTTACCCTCCCCCTTTCAATAAAGCTCTCTTCCACAATCTCTTGAATTGGGGAATTTAAAAGAAAATAAAAAATAAGGATTTTATGAGATTCATTGAAAATACTTCATTACCCTTCCCTTATTAAAAACTACCAGTGAAAGGTTTCAATTAAACCCTCCCCCCACCCAAGCATAACCAAAAACACTTTCATCAATAATCAATTTGGTGATAAAGAATGAAATTCCATCTGCATGTATTAAGCATTATATAGGTAAGTTCAATAATCTTAATCCTACTAAGACAAGTAAACCAAACAAAAGAAATCCTAATTTATCAGCATATACGTTCGGTACAATTTTCCACATGTAATGCTCAAACAAAAATTTTGTACAAATGATGATTCAACAAGGATAAAAGTAGAAGTAAACTACAGAACATACAATATACTCTTCCGGTCCTTAATATAAGACCCATTTAACTAATTTGATTAGATTAAGAAAATTAGATAAGTTAGTTAATTATAAGAAATGTGACACATTTTTCCTAAAACACCATAATCATCTTTCTTAATACCCCCTTCCTCTTTTCTACTTGATTATGGTTGAGGGAGTATCCATAGGGGTAATTTAGAGAAAATTGATAAATATGAGAAATGGGTCTTATATTTAGAACCAAAACCAACTCAACAATTGGGTCTTATATTAAGGACCGGAGGAGTATATATTCATTATTATATAGTTTTTTAACGACCACAGCTGTAAAATGTCACTGCTTGAGATTTCTGCAAGGGACAGGCAAATGTGCCAATGGCTAATTTGAGTTTAATCTCATTACCCTTCATCTTTTTCTGTCATTGATGGAAAAAAAACAGTGTCATTACTTTTATAGTGAAGAGCAATAGCAAACTAAGGCCCTGTGGGCTCCATGACCAATAGAAAATGGCTAAGTCACATGGTGTCTGAGGTGCATGCGAGAGGGGGTTTATATATTGTGGGTTTTGGGTCAAGATGGGTAAAGAATAAAGAGTAACGCTTGGGACAGGAAGATGACTCCGTGTGTGTTTATTTCCAGAATTGTAGCCTATTTACATAAACTTGCGCTCTAGCACAATCATAATATGATTCCAAAGAACTCCTGAGGGGATTCCATCAGGACCTAATATCCTCCTGAAAGAAAAGTAAAAGTTTTGAAGACCTCTCATCTCTTTCCTTCTCTGAGTTGAGATTTCCATTTCCCTAGATATGACAGACAGAGGAAAGACAAATGCTTGTAGAATGCAAGTATAATATTCTCTATTGAGCTTGAGATGCATGAACATCACACACTCATATATGAATATATAATATTTTACCGATTACGACCACCTATTAGCATATAAAAAGATTCCCGGAATGGCTTTCCTCTTTTAGATAACGGGGTAGAAGAAAATAATGCTACAAACATCCAAATAGAGTTCAATAAGTGAAAAGTACCATCAGCAAAAACATTGTAACCATTAAGGATGCCTTCAGCTATAAGAACTCCACTGCCAAAAAAGAAAAAAAAAAGAAAAAATCAGTTAAAAATTTTAAAAAATAATATATGTTAAAGTTATGCTTCAGTTGTTTAAAATTTTGTTCAACCAGAATTAATATATATAAATATATTCATTAATTTGAAAAAGACCTGAGCAGCCTATTCAAAATCTCACATCAGTGGATTAATTTTATTTGAAAGTTGGGTTGAGTACTAACCTCAATATGAAAATTAATGTATTAGCAATATAAGCAACCATTTCCCTGGGAAAAAGAAAGGATTGAAAAATGATTCACTTTCTGAAACAGATAATAAAGGAAAATATGAATGGCATTAAAACAAATGTAAGAATTGACACTGGCATAGATAAGGGACATGACACAGATGCCAACATTGTGACAATGTAAAATAGAAGTGTCCATTGATCCAACACATGTTAGAAACAGGTATGGCTCCTTTTCTAAAATCTTTGTGCTTCATACGTAGAATGAGTATTGTAACTTTCAAAGCCGGATTCTTCTGCAGTAACAGTTGCAGCACTGCTAGAGTCACAAGCCTATCATCATCTTATCCATATTTAGACAAAAAGTATTTGGAGAAAACATAAGAGAATAATAGGGCTTTAAACTTATGTCTAAAGTAAACAGAAAACCAACAAGTAGCAAGAATGAGTAGCCCTTTAATCTAAAACTATTTATTAAGGAAATATAAAGTCCAAGAAGGAGAGCATGAATAACAAACTATAAGAGTAATGGGTTACAAATGATAATAAGAATCTTGGCAAGGCTGTAAAAGGAACTGACTAAAAGATAGGAGCTGAGGTCAAGAAAATAATTTATTCCCATCAAAGGTGCAAGCAGAGAAACAAAGAATGCAAGAGTATCAACATGCTCTAGCCCGGAAGACACCACTATGATATACTAAATGTTCTATGTCATTCCTAAACCCTATCATAGGAGGTCTTGCATGATATTCTCAATCCTATCAAGAACATAAACAAGAATTCCAATGAGAAAGCAAAAGAAGGTGATACTGAATGAACTGAATGATGGAACCCGCCAACTGCTGCAACCAAAACATACAGGATGAAGCACAAGGGAGTAGCAAAAGGGCACCGAGGGGGAACTAGTGGTCCAAAAGAAAGCACAAAGGTTAAAAACCAGATAAGATAGAAAAGTAGAGGGGCAAAAGAAGGTAGTTGTGATAAAAAGGCAGGAGGGAGCAGTTAAGGGCTGTTGACAGGGTATACAAAAAGAAAAGGCTGAGGAGAAAGAGGAAGAGAATTTTAGTCGGGTTTTAGCCTTTAGGTAGAAAGCCAACCCATCAAAAGGTAGAAAACTGTACTGCTCTTGTGGTTCTAGTACTGCATTGTTGTGCTGTTAATGCGTGTTTGTTTAGTGAGTATTCAATGACACTGTAATATGCCTTCACTCTATCATTGTCAATTCTTAAAACAATTGAAATTTAAAAATTAAACTAAAAATCTGGCTCCATTGACAGTTTAAGCTTCACGAAATATAACATGCCCCTATAATTTATATAGACAAAGCACAAGCCCATACCAAAAGTGATGCAAGCTTTGTTGTCCATCACCCTTAAAAGCTGTCCTCGCAAAGGCAGAGTAAAACCTGCTCAACAGTTTCAATAACAAGATTTCTAAAGTTCAAGTGATAAAGATGCTTCATACAGAAGTTCAACTTACATCCCCAGTGTCATCACTGTCAAAACGCCAGAAAGATCAGCACCTTCTTGAGCCTATCAGGAAAAAAATTACCATTGAAGTTTTCTATAGACAAATATAGACACTATGCAACAATATAAATGGGCTGTTTGTGCAGTTTCAAACTTTTAATACTTTCAACAGCACATTTTTGTCTTTTTCTTTTTCCTAACTTTTGCTTTCCCTATTTTTCTTAACATAAGCCGTGCTAAAATGATTAGAGCCCAAAGGCTTGATGCAATCACAAAATACTGCAATAACACTTCAACAGGGTGAGAGTTGTGAGAAGATGTGAAGACATGGATGATGTCATCCTGGTTTAAAATTTTTTTTACACAAATTAGCAAAACATTTGATATTTAATTCATTTTAAGTTCCCCAAGTTGAATATCGTATATGCAAACATTTCAACTTACTAAAACAAGCAACCAGGTCTGAAAGGCAACTTACAGTGTAGAAAGCAACATAGCTAACAGTCAGTGTTAGAGTGATCTCTATCACTGTATCATTAAAATAAATCCAAGCCACAAAACAGATGCTATCCCAAAGGCAAGACCCATTCCTACACTGGACCAAGGAAATAATTATTTAAGTAAGATGAAATTTTGCAAACAATGCAATAAAGAAGAAGGTGAAACCTACGCTCCAAGAGAAACTTGTGCTAGAAATTTGATTATGGACTCCCAGTTGAAGCTCTCTCCAAGGACCATCCGAAAAAATAGAGTATAGACCACAATTGCCGTTCTGGACATGAAAAATGTAAGCACTTTCAAAAACAAAATATGTAAAGGACACAGAATCACCACATGCACAAACAATAACATGGTTATATCTTTTAGGTCTTTAAGCCACTTCCTCAACAAATAAGAAGAAAAATGGAATAAGAGTGAAATCATCTAAATTTGAATACCCGTCGTTCATCAAGGATTCCCCTTCAATTATTGTACTCAATTTCTTGCTGGCACCAAGCTCTTTCAACAAAGCCACAACTGCTACAGGATCAGTCGCACTTAGAAGTCCCCCAAGCAATAGTGATGTTTTCCAACTCCAGCCATATGGAAAAGTCAACTGCATTATGATATAAAATTGATTAAAAAATGACATGGAAGACTAAACCTAAGCACATAAATTCATATACCTTCAAAACAGATCCAAGGCAGAAGGTTGATACAACAACACCTGGACCAGCTAGTAATATCATTTGTACAATACACCTCTGCGGCAAAATTCAAGAAGAAAAGAAAATCAGACAGCTTAAAGCTGGTAAATAAGCATAATACAGCTAATAAATTCATTACATTATAGCACCACTGCTAGTCACTCATGTAATCTTGTCTGAGTTTCCAATTTCTTGGTTTCCATTTTAGAGTCTCACTACACAATCATGCAAGATAGCCTTTTCTTATTAAATTTAAAATAATCCCATAAATAAAATATGCAAAATTTTCAGGCTCAATTTGTCGACTCATTTCACATTTTTTTTAGTTTCAGTTTTTGTTATTTTTCATTTCTGAGACGAAGAGAATATTGAATTTCACTGCAGTTGGAGGAAGGCCTGTCAACAAATAGAAAGCAATACAACACAAAATAATAGATGAGTCAGGGAAATTGGAGATGCTAGTAAATTAAGGAGAAAAGGATCTAGTTCAGAAACATAGTTGAAGGCAGCATTTTAACAAAAGATTTATGTCTTTTTAAGTCTGAGAAGGATGGGATACATCTATTGCCCGTGTTAGACCCATCCTGAGGTTTAGGCCATTAAAGGATAAGGTTCTAAAGCATACATAAATTTAGTTCTTCATTTCACCAAAAAATAAATAAATAAATTTAGTTCTTCACACTTCTGTACCTGTCGTTTTCCCCTTCTTGCAAAACCCTCAAGGCTTGTCCTACAAATTTTCCCTAATCACTATCAAAGCCTAAAGTTACTATTTGCATGTATTATCTGACAAGTGACAGCCCACACGAAAGCTTTTATTCTAGACTAGGATGCATAATGTCAAAGATAAAAACATAGTAGTTTAAGCTTCAAGATTAAAACTTGGTTCTCCATACAGTAGCAAAGTCACTTCAATCGTCCTCATCACCATTCTCCTAACTAGGTTACGTTTTAAGACAAGAAAAGAGTGGCCATCTGTCTTATCCATGCTTAAAACTTACAGGCAGCAGTCTTTCAACTTTCCGTGAGAATGCATGTTAAGAGACAACAAATCTCCAAGTATTCACCTAAGAACTTGAGCTTACAATGAATCACATAAACTGAAGGGAAGGAGATCGCAAAAAAGAACAGGAAACATGGAAAAGTACAAACTGAATAGAAGAAAATATTAGCCCAAAGAGTTCTCACATCCTTCAGCATGTCCCTCAAACTAACCTTCTCAATGCGCTCAAACCCATAAGGAAACAATTAAGTCATTCGTATCCCATTAAAAGTACGAACATAAAAATTTCTTGCTAAAGAGTCTAGGATTATGCACCCAAATAAACAAGTCCCCCAAAAACCCTCGGCTTTCATGTTCAGTTAGTTTTTCTCTGCTGGATGATTAAACATTCTTCTGTCTTTCCTCCTCTACCTTTTCGAATGACAGGACCTTTTATCTATATTGCCAACAACAGGAACTTGTTTACAATAAATTGTTTTGAAGTGATATCATTCAGCTTTCTTCTTTTCTATTTTATATAGAAGGATATCTTGTCCTTCATATCATTCTTTTACTTTTCTATTCAGTACTTCTTTCCTCTCTCTATTAATTTAATTAACAATAAATCAGGGGCTTCAAAACTTAGGAAAAAACCAAATGTACTGCAGTTTTCAACTTAAATTTAGGAAAGCATAAAATTAGTTCATAAATTATTCATAATTAGGTGAGTGAATTTTTACAGACGTCAAATATAATGAATAGATGTTCCTGCACATAATCATGCAAGAGATACCATTGCATGCACGAATACATGGGGAAGGGTCAAGCACAACAGTCTGAGATTATCATATTGTAACTCTAAATACAACTACAGATGCTCCAAGGAAAGAAAACAGTAAAGAAACCTTAATTTGGTGAACTTCCATTGAGAATGAGCTCTCAAAAAGGAGGGCAGGAAGGAAAACAGCTAACAGAAGATCTGGATCAATGGTTGACCCTGCATATGGAAATTGCTAATATCTAATTGTTTTGAACAACAAGCAGGAAAAACCAAAGATGCTTAAGTTGTTTTTCTAGTGGTACGAGAAGTTGATTCAACAGATATAATTTTTTAGCCAGGAAAAGTTCCCAGCTCCAAATGTTCAGAAGTCAAAGAAAAGGAAGCTGCTTATACAGTGGCACAAGAAGATCATCAACGACAACCTAGTTTTTTTCAATTCAGTTAATATAATGATGCTAGCAGAAGGAAATAACAAGACGACAAAATATTTTAGAGAAGGAATTTCCTTCTCCTCAGGTGTAATCTAGTGCCGTCTTTCTAATGCATCCAACAAGGAAGGCAACCTGACTAAGAGAATATTCAAACAAAAAAATGATGCTTAAGACAAAATCAAGTTACAATTCCCGAGAGTTTAAATCAAGTTCTAATCGCCAAGAGTTTGAGTTATCTCCATTGGCATGTACATAGAGTTCGAAATAACTAAAATGAAATGTTGTCCAAACTTACAAATACGAATTCCATTGCCAATCTTTCCCAGTTGATGATGAGTACTATATTCTGTTCAGAAGTCCAATGCTCGTCAGATAACTTACTCGTAATCTTAAGAATAGGCAAAATCAAAAGACACAACCAAATATGCATAAGAATAAACAAAGAGTAGCTTGTTTTGACAACCTGAAGAAATCTGGAAGTGCCAAATTCACAATAGGAAAGTTTTAAGATGTCCATAGACCCAAGGTGCCTTTAATGGACCAAAGAATGGAACAAAAAGAACTACTTAAGCTTTATGGATAGACATGATAATCAATTAAGAATGCTGACAAGCTAACTTAGCCAGATAATTTGAAAATGAAGAAAACGAGCACACTATGTAAATTGATAAAGGACTCTGGAAATCACTTTGTTTGGCATATTAGACACCCGTAATTATCATAAAAATGGATTTTGTTGCTTTTACATTAGATCAATCGAAGATTTTGTCTGAACTAATAAAACTATAATAGTACAGTTGTGCTTTTTGACACAATAATGACTATATCACACATTTTGTCTTCACAACCATCACCTTGGTGACATCACTTACATTTACCCGATGTCTAATCACCGTTTTTCTATCTTCTGAATTCAAATATCACATGCATAAATGATACATGCGCTGTTTTATCTATTCATTAATCCTAGGTCAGAACTGCAAATGTCACATTTTTAGGAACTAGAGTTGTTACTGTTAGCATTCAAAAACTCGCGTTTTTGACATGTTTTACAAGCAAAGTTTCTTAAAAGAGCAATGAAAGAACTCTGGCAACTTGCATGAAATAAATATATAAAAATAAGCATAAAATTAAATAAGCTTATAGATTAAGCATATAAATGTAATATAAGACCCAAAGAGTTAGAAATTGGAAAAACAGAAATTGCCAGAAAGCAACTTTAGAATTAAGTAAAGATTCATAGAGGATGAAGAAAAAGAAACATTGCTTTTTGCATCTTTTTGTAGATTTAACTGAAAAATGCGCAGGGGAGAAGGAATGAGAATTATTCCTTATCACCTATTCTGACTTGAACTACTCTCTAGATCTGCTTCAAGTATGATGAACAATATCATGATGGCATGTCGATGGCATATGAAGCAACAGTACGAGTTTATTTAGATCAAGAGAAAGATTGAACTGGATCAATCATACAGCCGTTGGTGTGCGTCTACAAACAAACTATTTGGTGTCTCGCACGTCTGTTACTGATTTGTTAGTTTCAGGACTTAGATTAAAGAAAAAGAGGTTCTCACTGCCTAATTTATGAAATCAGTTCTTCAAATGTCATGAATAAAATATTGAAGGCAAATTAAGATCAAAAGTCCATGATCATCGGGGATTTCTTTTTTCTCTTTCTATTCTATTTGAGACCAGATGTTTTCTAGCTCCCAGAAGCTTCTTGCATCAGCTTCATACTTCATTATTTTCAAACCTCTGTTGCTTATAACAACCCAGAAAAAAAAATTAATGATATAAATTTCAAATCCAGTATTGAACAGTTCAGAATGCCGAAGGAGGACAGCAAAATTTGTCACAAAACAAGAGAAGCAAGCAAAGACTGGGGATGAAGAATGATCAGAAAGCGAACCTAATGATCCAAGGCCAATGCCAATGATGAGCAGAGCAACAGTATAAGGGACTCTGGTACCACGCAAAATATGCCTACAAGCAATTCCCAGAGCCAGACTGACTCCTACAAATATTACTGCATCTGTTGGATTCAACTCAGCTTCCGGAGAAGTAGAATCCGAAGTAGAATTTTCTTCGGCCATTATTCTGTAAGGAAATAGCATCTCTGTCACTGCCGCCATTGGAACTAATTAAGGCAGCTAGAGATGAGGAAAGTTTTCAAAGCGAAAGTAGTAGTTCAGCTTAATGATGATCGCAGAACGTGGGAGAGAAGAAGACAAGCAAAACAACAACGGCCTATAGACACGCCCCCCTCCCCACCAGGACTCCCCCGCGTCACTGTCTAAAGGCGCCAGCCACGGCGGCCATGTACTTGTTTATGATATAAAATATCGAACAAGACGACAAAACAATGCTTATATGAGATTAAGATCCGCATTTGTCAGTATATGTGATCTAAATTTTGTTACCGAATACCCCACTCACATTAACAACTCATTATTTAAACAGAAAATCTTGAAAAAAAAATTAAAAATTATTAAATCTCAATCTCAAATCAAGATTATTTTCTGTACTTTAACTTGTTTTGACTATGCTTAACTTCAAAATAACAACGCTGGAACTGTTGATTTGGAATTTAATTCTCATCGCATTAGAAGGGTATCGATTTATTTTGTCCATTAATCTGCAACTCTTTTTTTTTTTTTTTTTGGTCTGCTAATCTGCAACTCTCTACTCATACAAAGATATACAATTTGTTAGCTTAATTAACGTAGAAGAAATTACCCTTTTAGATTGGCGCAGTTCATTGTCACTCCCTCCTATTTTTGTCCTTTTCATAAAAGCTTTACATATTTCACAATATAATATATTGTAGGAAAAATTACAAATAAAGAGTCCCTAACATGTGAAATTATAATTTGAGACCCTTAATTTGAAAAATAGCAGATAAAGACCCAGTTCTATATTACAAATATGAAATTTTGGTGAAATTTCTGAAATGCCTCTCAGCCAAATTGTGATTTAATCTGTTGAAGTTGTTATTCGTTAGAGTAAACTTGTTATTTTCCATAGTCAACTTGTCATTTGGCAAAAGGATATTTCAGACATTTCACCAAAATTTCAGACATTTCACCAAAATTTCATATGAAATTAGGTCTTTATCTGCTATTTTTCAAATTAAGAGTCCTAAATTACAATTTCATATATTGAAAGGTCTTATCTGCAATTTTCTCTATATTTTATTATTCCCTCCAATACTTAACTAATTATAAGATTTTATAACTAATTAATCAAATTTTCTGACTAATAATTTCTATTGAGGCGTGATTTTGATATTTTATCAGAGGAAACTAATTTCATTAATTTATGTAAAATTACTGCTGATCGCTTATAAAAATAACAACGTGAGGGAATATAATTTAATGGTCGAAGAAATTTCATGCCAGTAACGCAAAACTTGAAGGAATTAGATGCTATTCTTCCTTTCTGTATATCGTAAATTGTTTTAGATTTGTTATTAATTATGTTATATATTTTGGAAAAAAAAGTAGATTTTAAAGCTTTTCCATATCCGAGGTGAGGATTGAACCCTCAACACCTGGTTAAGGGAGGATGAGCTCCTACCACTCAACCATACCCCCCGGGTTAGTATAAACAATGCTTTAGCACGTAGTTTAGTAACCTAATCTCTGCAAGTGATTTGGATTTAAACGCTAACTAATTTTAGCGGCAAAAATAAAAGCATTAATTTTAGGCAATTTGATTCAATTTCTTTCAAAATATTACCACCTGGCCCTTGTTGTTTATAAAGTCATACACGTAATTAACAGACAACTAATTTCTTATGTAATCATCCATTTATTTATTTCGGTTTACAGGGACGTTTCCACTTAATTATACGTTCTTATTAGAATATTTAGTGTTCTTATCCTTTGGACCTACTCTTTGATCGACAACTTATCTCTACGTTTTGTTTTTCTTTTCGCCAACCAACTAATATACAGGCTGACTACTGCGCAAAATATAATTGTTAGAAAATAATTAAATACTCTTCCTTTCCTTGGCGGAGATGAGTAACTAATTCTCAAGAATTAAAAATGTAGTCAACCGTTGGTTTATGTTTAAAATATAATTATTGTTGGCAAAAAAATGTTTAAAATATAATTATTTAAATAATTACCCCCATTTAATAATTAGTTTATGGTTTTTAATAGTTAATTAATCTCATCAATAAATATTCCATTCTAGTGAGGGTATAAAAAATTATAAATGCTCCGGACAAAAGGTTATTATTTCATATAAATAGAACTAAGAGACCTGTAAAAAAAAATAAGTAAATAAAAATTGGTCTTAGGTAATATTATCTCTCATCCTTAATATAAAAGTTAGTTCATTAATTTGAGTAATTTAAGAAAGTTTGTTAAATTAGTTATTTGTAATAAACAGGTGTTATCTTCTCTAAAATGCTCTTTTTAATTGTGTATATTAGATAAAACTACTATTTGATGAAATATTTAACATATGTAACTACTACAAGGACACTTTAAAAGAAATAGATCAATATGAGAAACAAAACAGATTGTATCTATATTTAGAACCAAAATGAATGTCAAACTTTTATTTTAAGGAAGTACTGTATTGGTCCTTAATATAAGAGTTAGCCTAACTTTCAATTTGATTCTAAATATAAGATGTTAATCTACTTTGTGTCTCGTGTTTATCACTTTGTTTAAAGTAGTCATTGTAGTAGTTGCGCATGTTAAATGTTCAATCAAATGATGGTTATAGTTAATGCACATGATTAGTAAGGATATTTCAGAAAAAATAACTACTAATTATTACAAATAATTAACTCAGTAAACTTTTTTAATTTATTTAGATTAATTAACCAACCCTTATATGAAGGATCATGATACTATATATATTGCATTACGAGAACGTTTTGTCACCTACTCTTCAATAGGATACGGGCAGTGTAGTGTTCGGGGTGGTATTTAATCTTAATCAAAAGTATATGTTATCTTATCAATTCATTGTATAATGATTTCGGCCATCTTCAATGTTGGATTGTTAGTTTTTTTTTAATGGAATCACACCCGATTTGTGGGTTTTGCTTTTGCAGCTTTTGGATCTCAATTATTACCATAATAATCTTGTGTTTTTTTAATATAATTTGCGTGCCAGCTATTCAAATGGCCCTTTTTTTTTTAATATTATTGGAGATCTTTGGATTCTTTCGGCAGCACGATTTCATCCCTTTTAAGGTTTCCTAGGGAAAATTATTTTTGAAAGTTTTCTTAGTTTTATTAATAATATATTTCAAAGATGTTATTTTTTTAACTAAACCTGCGTGTCTAAACAAAAGGGGAGAAAATACTCATCTTTAATTTAAAATTGTTAAATTCAAGTTAGCTAGGTGGTGAAATCATGAGAAATTCGTAAAAAAAGATCTTATAAATTAAAAAATCACAAACGGGGCCTATTCATAAAAATAGTTATTATTTTCTTATCAATTGTTGTTAAAACCAATACTAATATTGTGACGAGTCTCTATTTATAATTTTTCTATTTTTAAGATATCTTTGTGATTTTTCCTAAAATCATTAATTTTTTATGACCAGCCCTACCATCATTAATTACTTCTTGGTTTGAAAATCGTTCATTATTTAAACAAACCATGGAAAATAAATCACAATTGTTATATACTACCCGGTCTTAAATATAAAATTTGCTTTAAATATAAAATTACAAGTAAATTTTATATTTAGGACCGAAAGAAGTATGATAATTTAGTTAAAACTTAGAAGAAGTCTCTCATTCATTTTAAAAAAAAAAGAAAATCAATATAGAATCCTAATGAAAGAGCATAGAATCATTGAAAAAGGGTCTTATCTCTCAATAGCATAACTTTTGTTATCATTTCATATCCCAAAACTTATCATTCACTTGTTATGAGATTTTATGATAATTATATTCCTTCTTTAAAATTACAGTGATTTTTTTTTAAATGGGAAAAAGAAGGATTCAAACAGCAGATTGAACTATTGTACTGAGCTTATTATTAATATTTGAATTTGAATCTGGCTATATATGTATATTCAACATAATCAACCATATGAACCGGCATGATAAGTAAGGTCATTAGATGAGATGATTGGTGTTCAAGGTATAAGAATTATTTGTAAAGAAAGCATAATTAAGATAACACAAATTAGAGCGGGTATATATTCCTAAACACGTGCTTTCTCCTGTGAATTCCAACGTAATTGATTGGAGCTGGGACTCTACCTGCGGAGGCATATTATATTGGTGATTATTATAAGTTTATAACTATTAAATGAAGGAAACCAACCAATGACCAATTCACATCGTATCAATGTGTCATGTGCTTCTCCTTTTTTTTTTTTCCCTTTAATTTTTTATTATTTCAAAACGATGCTGTCCCATAACGCGTGAAATCATCAAGTTATAATCCTCCCATCTCCAAATCTTGATTCACTTGCTACACTTGTTACCAGTTTCAATTTTTAATATAAAAATTAGTTAACTAATTTAGATAGATTCAAAAAAATTTACTCTTCTGCTTCTAAATATAAGACCCTTATACATATTACAAAAAATGTTTTATATTTAGGACCGAATAAGTATTAAATTACTTATTTATAATAAGTATGTGTTGACTTTCCCAACATATTATTATTAATCATGTGTATTAGTTAAAACTATCATTTAATGAAACATTTAAGATGTGTAATTACTATAAGAACTATCATAAGAAAAAAAATAGATAAATATAAAGACAACATGTTTTGAAGTTTTATGTTTAAGACCAAGTTAAAAATCAAACTAACTCTTATATTAAAGACTGGAGATAGTATTTTAGTTATTTTCCATGTAACTTTTGGGATAGCATAAAAGTATCATTATTTTTTATACACACTTATAGGTAATATTATTACATCAGATATAATTATGTCAGGTTTAAATAAATTTGTTAACAATAACTAACCAAACTACAAACTCGGTGAAAATTTGAGCACAAAAATAATAATGTGTTACCATCTATACATTCATTCATTCGCGCTGCATCATTTATATATTACTAAAATAAAATTATGACTCCAGTAACCCACGTTTAATTTGATTGAGTCCCAAAACAATATGCCCCGGCTTAAAAAAGATTTATGAAACATGAAACAATAAATAATTACATACTACTTCTGGTCCTTAGACCTTAATATAAGAGTTACTTGGATATTTAATCTGGTTCTAGATATAAAATTTTAATCCCCTTTATCTATCATATTTATCCATTTTGTCCTGAAATAATCTC